ACTTATCGATGTGTTTTCTCTACAATTTTGACGCACTTTTTTATAAATATAGAAAATTTAGTTTATTATTATACACGATTACACGGACTGATGAAAAATAAAATGAAAAAATAAGAATTAAGGGCTCAAAGAGATAAAACAAAAATTTGTGAACGTTAAAGTAAAGTGAAATGCGAGATCGAAGAAAAATAGTTACAAGAGTTATCGTAAAATTTTTAAATTGAGCGTGGATAAAAGGAAAAATACTTCGAAACTGCAAAGCAAATACAAAATAAGTACATGAAAGGTAACACAATAATGCAAAAAAAAAAAAAAAAAAAAAAAAAACAAACAAACAAACAAACAAAATAAACGTAGTGAAACGACCTTGGGAGCTAAATAACGGCGAAAGAGTTGTTCCGGGGCGACAATGGCGTTGGCGCGCAACAGGCGGGACATCATTTCCCACGCTCCCTCCGTCAATAACGCCGGAATTGGAGAGGCACTAGCGAATCTCCGAGACTTCCTTGTTCTCGGCTGTGCGAAGGATGTATAAAAAAGAAAAAAAAAAAAAAAAAAAAGGCAACTCCCTTTTTTCTGCACTATCCGGCGCATTGATTTTCTTCCCCCCCATAGCCGGACGCTCGAATGTATATCTCTGTCGCGGCAGGAACTGTTTGTTTTGTCGGAGTTGTTGCAATTAATCCTCGGTAGCTCTGTACTAAGTATATTATTGAACTTTCGGCCTCCTAACGTATACGTACACAATAAATGTACAATGTGCTCAACGAAAAGTTCAAGCTCGGCATTATAATATATGTTTGCCCCCAAATGGATTTTTTTTTTTTTTTTTGTGACCATAGAATGTATAAGATCGGAGAGAAGAAGAAAAAAAGCAAGTTCACCTTTGTTCGTCAGCTGCGAAGCGTCCCGATGGTATTGGTTGAAATTCCAAGATATGCAGGGGCTCGAGCGAGCCGAAATAAGAGGATGAAGCTACAAAGCACCCCGGCTCGCAAGACACGACGCGCAGGGGAGAGTAGTAGTGACGAGGTCACGTGGACAAAAACCTCGGGTAGGACAGGAAGCGTGGGATGGGGGGGTGGATGTAAAAAAGCAAGAGGCGACATCAGAAACGGGCGGAGGACTGAGAATGAACGAACAAGAGGATGAGCCGCGTGTGTAGTGGGCGGAGGAAGCCCGGGCTCGTCGAGTGTGCATAACGTATATAGGTGCAGGCGTGGGGTGCGCGTGATATACATATAGTCTAGTGGGGGGTAAAAAAAAAAAGAGGGTAAAAGAGCGACAAATGAGAATGTATATTACAGGTATATGTGTGTATACCGCGTAGCTCGTGAGAAGGAATCAAGAGAGGCGCCTTCGCGGTTGTCGAGCGGGGTGGCTCCGGCTCTTCGCACTCGCTTTGGCCCTACAAGGGTATATATTACAGTAATTACAGGCAATGAGGTCAAGGTTCGAGGTGTTCGAATTCCCAAAGCGAGTACGGCTCCCGGGCCCATTGGGATCAACAACCAAGAGCACTTCATTAAAATCATCATCACCACTCGTACATTCCCGTGTACCGTGTATTCGATAATCGGCAAGCCATTCTATAGTACAAGTTGTAGGCGAAAATACGTGCACCTGGTATATGTACATCTCTGCTCGTTTTTATCTGATGCACTCTCGAGAGGTTAATTCATTACATTTTGGACACATTATTACCCCATCTTCCCACCGAACTTTTTCAATATTTCATTAACTAGATTTCATTGTGTCCTCGATGCAGAGCGTCAATTATGCAAGCTTTTCTCTCATCGGGCTACTACTTGACCCACTGGGCTATGATTTTCGTGTCATACAATGCTTGGCCTTGATAGCCATGACACGCGTGTAATATACATATAATTATACTTTATTCATTAAAACTTGAAATTGATGAGAGCTATCATCTGCGTTGAATTTATGGAGATGTATAATATTCCTCCTGTTGCATCAGGCTGTGCTAATTATCATCACGAGCTGGTGCCCAAAGTATATTTTATAAGTAGTACGGGAGCAAGAGTTCGTTGGTACATCTCCAGATATCAAAGATGCTTTGCTTAACATATACCTGATAACATTTTTTTTTTTTTTTTTTTTTTTTTTTTTTTTTTTTTTTTTNTAGAAAAAATAAAAAGAAAAAAAGAAAAAAGAAAACTGACGCGCGCCAAACCGACAAATTCAAGTTATCATCGAAAACACACACACACACACACCAGCACGATTACTTTTAGGCTATAAACAACATTTTGGACACTCGCTCAAAAATAAGAAGAAAACCCAACTTTCGGCCTCAAAATTAAAGATAAGCGCCCAATAACCGAGCAACGACGCTCAAGTGAAAAACAAAGGAAAAAAAGAAGAAAGAAAAAAAAAAAGTAAAAAACAGAAAAAAGTAAGCAACGATGCAGGAACTCGAGGATGAACCCAAGGACGTACAAAACGCCCGTCCCGTCGAGGAGGAAGTCAAGAAGGCCGAAACCAGCGAGTGCTTGAACGACGCGACACCAGCCCCGAAACCGAAAAAACCAAATGGCCCACCTCCGCACCGCTGCCAAAAAGCCGTAAACCGATATTTCCATCCTCGCGAACCAAGTAAGTGCCCGATGCTCGATTATTCACCGAAACGTGGGCGCAGAAATCGGTACCGGCAACGGTCGACCGCTGCGAGGAAAAGAGATCCAAACGCCCACCCGACACCACGACCGTCTACATCCACGGGCCGGAATGCAAGCCCCACAAGATGGACCGCACGCCCCGGCACTGCATGAACAAGAAGGAGTACCTCGACTTCCTCGCCACACCAAGGTACCCACGCTCCCAAAAAAGCACTCGTGAAAAACAAAAAAAAAAACAAAAAAAAAACAAAAAACTAATCATTACGTATGATTGTGAACCAGCAAAAAGTGCGAGCCGACGTGCGAAAAGTTGCCGGTCGTGCGCAAGGTCCGACCCATCCCCGCGCGCATCGAGGAACTGGCCAGGCCCACGAAGCGCCGGCTCATCCTGACCCTCGAGGAGCGCGCCGAGCTCATGCCCGCCCGGATGCTCGACCACCTGATCGAGCTCGTCGAGGCGGAAACGGCCCTCACCCCAGAGTAGGTAGACACGACGCACCCAACGAACCGAGATAACCAAGGGCCGCTCGTTTGTTACCCAGGCAAGCCGAGGACTACGTCCGCGACCGGAAGCTCCAGGCGAAGCCGGGGAAGAAGCCGGTGTCGGGCTGTTGCGAGGATGACCAGGGCGAGGCGAAGACGAAGAGGCGGAGGAAGAAGAAAAAGAGGAAGAAGGGGGAGGGTTGCAGCGGCGAGTCGGTGCTGGTGAGGCAGGGCTCGGGGGACGAGCCGTGCCTGGACGCGGAGTCGGCCAAGTGCCAGTACGCGATGGCGGTGCGCTTCGTGCGCAGTATCCTCGTGTGGCGGTGTTGCCGGCCGGCCTCCGAGTACCGGGACATAGCCGAGGTGGTGCTCCGCCGGTTGAGCCAACTCCTGGAGTACGAGCCCCGGGGCGTCGAGGACCGCAAGTCCCGGCAGATGCGGCTCCTCGCGGATCTGTTCGCCTGCTGGATAGCCGGGCTGTTGATCGAGTTGGCCGAGATGCGCAAGGGGGAGCTCGAGGCCGAGTGCCTTCGTCGGAAGCTCGAGGCGGAGGAGCGAGCCGCCCTCCTCGAACAGGAGGCCGCACTCACCGACGGCTCGTCGAGCCTCGATGACTACGACGACGACGATGACTACGACGCCAATGCCGACGAGGAGGACCTCGATGACGAGGGAACGGAACTGGGAGACACCGGGGGCGCAGATGGGCACCTGTTGTCCGGCTTAGCCAGCGATGCCGATATCAAGGGGGATGGGAAGGAGGAGGAGGAGGAGGACAGCAGCGCGAAGGTCGACGCGGCGAGCCAGTACATCCCGGGGGAGCTTGACCTGGATGGAGAAGATGAGGAGGAGGAGGAGACGGGAGACGAGGATGGGTCGCCGGTCTGCTGCTGCGCGGACGCCTCGTTGCAGACGGATACGGCCTCGAGGGCGAACGCCTGTACGGCCGCGGAGTCGGTCGAGCTGAACGAGCTCGAGAAGATGGCCTCGCGCGTGGGCGCCTCCCTCCACACGAATCTGCCCTTCCTGACCTTCGCCAGGATCCTGGACACGCTGTACTCCATGATCGAGTGCGAGTCCGAGAACCGGCTGTGCGATCCCATGATCAACAGGCTCCACCGGGCCATCTACGAGAAATGCGAGCCGGTGCTCAGGATGGACGGGGAGGAGCACCTCGGCGAGCGCATCAAGGACGTCCTTGGTAAATATACATACGTACATACATTTGTTGTACCAAGTGCGTGATTGTTGACGGGGAACCATTGGAATAGACGTGGTGGCGGGCAAAATCGCTCGTTGGCTGCACCACGCCCTGGACGAGAAGCAGATACGGCTGCTGGACGAGGCCACGGATAAGGTGGAGTCACGCGAGGTGAGGGAATGGTCCCGGTGGATGGTGGGAGTGGCCGACATGGCCGAGAAGTGGACGGGCTGGATCGACGAGGTGGCCGGGGAGGCGAAGAACATGGGACGCGAGCCTCAGACGGTGACTCGGCAGGCTTGGCAGGACTGGACCGCGAGGGTCGAGGGCGACGCCAAACTGTGGAGGCGCGCCTACATGGAGGCGCAGCACCATCAGCACCACAACACCATGATGATCTGCGACCGAAAGGTCGTCAAGCGCAAGCCCCCCGAGTTGACCAGTGAGATGGCCATCAAGAACACCAACCTGGACACGGCGTCCAAAATCTGCTAAGGTTTCCCACTGCGGATTATTGACGAATAAAAATAGCAAAATATCCACATCACACGTTGTACTTTGGCTTTACTGTGTTATTCATCGACCCACTTTATTTATATAATATTGTTTATAACAAAAGCGACGCGAAACTCGACACAAATTACAATCGTGAGCACTACTTTTTTGGTATATACGTTATGATATGGGCTTACTTATAATAAATCATACAAAGAGACAAAAATACTCGCCATGTAAAAATACATCAAATTTCAGCTTTAATTGACTCCATTTAACGTACAACCGGTTATATATACAACGACATAAATTCATCCGACACGCAATGGGGAAAGAGATCAAGAGAGAGTGATCGTTTTAAAACGTCCACAATGCCTACTGACACAACCGTCAAACGAACGATAAATGTACAATGCTTATTTTGCGATTATACACTTGGCACGTTTGCTACTACAGTGTTTGATCTGACTTTTTATAAAAAATACTTTGCGCGAAAAATCACACGTTTCCGTACACACTTTCAACAAAAGTCATACACTTGTCTTATAATTACAAAATATGACGGTGAAAGAGTTGTTATACGTGAGAATCACGTCTAAAGTATAGTAACCCTGAAAATTCGTTGGCGCATGTATCATATGAATCACAACACGGCGAATTGATGAGCTTTAAATATATTAACACTTGGGAGAAAGCGAGTAAAGACTGACGAGGGGGGTAATACACGCACTTACGTGGCTACATATTATATGTACATACATGTAATCTGTTGGTAGACCGGGGCATAATATTTGAACGAGTTTTTGTTTATTTTTTTTTCTTTTTCTTTCATCAAACTAAAAACGAAATAATAAAGTTAATGCAACACATTTTCATACCCGGGTCTCCAGTTTAAACGCACTCACGTATCGTATACATTTAATATTATGATACAAGGCGCACAAAAAATGTACAAGTTTTTTTTTTTTTTCGAACGTTTTCGCCACTATAGGCCACTGTCGCATATGTACAAATTTAAACACGAGTGATGGATAGGGCATTGTCCCTTTTAGGCCGATTGGCACTCCCTGGCGATGGAAAAATCGGTAATCAAGTCGACCAGGTTGTTTTGGTGCACGTGTCCTCGAGCAGGCTCGCTGCACGGCGACTTTGGCGCGCTCAGTTTTACACTCGTCGTTGGTTTCTGTAAAGATGAAAAAAAAAATTTTTTTTTTTCAAAAAACTGCATTTAGAGTACAATATTTGCACATATATTTGTATTGTACCAAAAGTCAAAAGTACATGCGAATGTCAACTGATGGTGGGGACGAGGAAAGACGCTGAAGTATGGCGTCGAAGTGTTGACGGAAAAAAATACGCTTCGTGTTTGAACTTAATCGTATACACTTGCGTATTTTACGCGCCTGGCAGTATTTTTAAACATCAGGTGACTCATGGCAATAGTACAAGAGTTGGATTTAGGGATGTAACATCAGGTTGGCAAGTATATAGGTAAGTATTGCTCGATCAAAGGAAACATTACAAATACGCGAAATGCCATGTAATTACTCGCATCAACTTGATGTTATATTTTAACCATCCTTATTAGCTGCAAAAAATAGTACAGAAGATTTAGGGATGAAAAAAGAAAAAAAAAATAACGATAAAGTACCGATTTCAAGAGATTTTTCATCAGATAGAAATAAACGATGGAGAAGCGTAAGTAAGCACCTTACTCTTGGCTTAGGATTTCAAAACTGGATTGAGCAACGATCCGACCCTCGTTGAAATGAGAAAAAAAAAAGGACAGCTACCAGCATCCTAGTAATTTTAATGTAATATACTCGCAATAATAACGATAGCCGCCAAGTGAAAGCAAAATGAATCAAAGTGAGAGTGCCGAAAAATCCGGATATTTCGAACACTCCGTAGGTACATGATATGAAAGCACTCGGTTCCTGACCTACTGACGCGAGCTATGAAAGGAAGGCGAAGCAGGACATATATACATATACTTGGTCGCGTGCGGCTTTTGGTCATCTGCAGGTCCAGAAGTTGATCACTTTTACGATGGCTGAAGTGTAACCGTAAGATCGAAACTAATTCGTGATGTTAAATCATTTTCCAGGATGTGTTTACTTTAAAAAATTAGCATCGAAGCAACAAAAATACGCACACGTGTTGCTGTAAGCTTTCAAAAATCCAAAATTTCGAATGAAAAACAAAGTCTCGCTCGTCAATTCGAGTGAGCTCATCATTGGCGAAAAACTTGTCTGTGCATAAGAAATGACCACAATTTTTTCTTTTATTTTCTTTTAAAATCGCGCCGTCCGTTGGTCATTCCGAACTTTGAGCGCTGTATCAGTGTAAACATTTCATTTGCGTACGGATGGACAAACCAATGAACCTAATGTTTAATTATTCTGCCGTCGCTCTTTGTTCCCTTTCTTTCAGTTGTTTTTTTTTTTTTTTTTACTTTCTCTGCTTGCATAATTAATCGAGGAAAATAAAATGTCGACGCCCAAAACCATGAGTATATACATATTATACAAGTATGCTAATGGTCCTCGATCGTATCGGTGATCCATACCGGTGTTAATCTAATACACGACAAAGTGCGCATGCACGACCACAAAGATTATTGTATTTTTCCGGTTTCAGCCGTGAATTATTTAAAAAATGTGCATAAGTACATCGACGTGCCAGCGTCCGTGCTCTCGAGTTTTGGGGTTCAATAAGTATTGCCAACACGAGGGAGAGACGCGCTCGAACCGATATCCCATCATCACGTGTACTTACTTATTTAGGCATTACAATAAAAGTACAACAACGTCACCGGTGAATATACATATACAGGGGATAACCCACTTCCTCGCACCGATGCACGTGTAACATAATATACCTATATACACGTAACGCCCCACTCTCTGCCGGGGCTCCGAAAGTATGCCACATCGCGTGTGTATAGGTAGTGCACCATGCTTTTCCCTATATAATATATAGTATAGTCGCCGCCGTCGTATTAGCCGATAGCGGCGATATAGCCCTGACATTGCGCGCGCGCGGAAGCACACGCGGGGAACGGGAGCGAGACGCATACACACACACGCAGCGGCGGCGCATCGACCGCTTTCACGCGAGTAGGGGCCCCTCTCTATATTCCTGTTACCGTGGCATCGGTGGGGCTGGTGCTCATCAGTTTCAGCAGTGACTTTCGACCGTCGCGCTGCAAAGTCGGCAACACAGAGTTTATCCAAGGTAGGTTGTAGATTCAACACCCGAGCTTTCGGAGCTTGAACCCTCCTTCCCTCCCATCCTATCGTACGGCTTCGAGCTTACGTGTAAACTAGGTGGTACACGTACATATTACAAACTATCCAACTTTGCGACAAGAAGCACGCGTCTGTATTTGTATTACTTAAATGCAGTTTCGTACTCCGAAATATTTCCTGTCTCTGAGTTCAGTGTGGGAATACTTACCAAGTGCAACGGCCAACTACAAACAGCGTGTGTAAGGTATATTGTACGAGTGTGCGCGAGTGCCTGTGGGACACGTGCTGTGCAGCCGGGGGTACCTTTTATCCCGTGTATACATATACGTATACTTTATAGGTACCTAAAGGTACCGTAACTCAAGTGCAGCTGACCGTGGGAGAAAGTTTTAGCGAAGCAATTGCATTTATACACCGCGTTAACACGTGTCCGCTATTGTAAGAAGGAAAACGTATCACTTTTTACTTTTTGAACGTAGTGCGCGAGCTTATCTCGCTTTTGGGCCCGCAACGATTATCCATTCGTCGCGTTAACTGAAAGAGCAAAGTGGATTGTTTTTTATCGTGTACCTCTTATCAAAATATAACGATAGTCGCTACCGAGCAAGGGCTTTTGAAACCAATTACGTAGGAGACAAAAAAAAAAAAAGATTTCCACCGATTTTTAAATTCTATTTATACCACTCGAGCCAAAAGTTGCTGGCATACAAAATAAAAGAAGGAAAAACCAACGATATCGCTTGCAGAATGGCGCTAACGTGCTGGGAGAAGATAGCGGTGGTGGTGATAGCGGCTGTGGGTCTGCGGCTGGCCGTGCGGCTGAGCTTGACCCTCTGGAGGAAGCTGCTGGCGCCGAGCTTGGGTCTAGGCATCGATCTGGCAACCCAGGGTAGGTGGGCCCTCGTCACCGGGGCGACGGACGGACTCGGCAAGGCTTTTGCCCAGGCCCTGGCCAAACGGGGCCTCGACGTCGTTCTCGTCTCCAGGTCGCTGCAGAAACTCGAGGACACTGCCTCCGAGATCAAGCAAAAGTACGGGGTCGAGACTCGCGTCGTCGAGGCCGATCTCACCGAGGGCCAGGCCGTGTACAACAGAATCGGCAAAGCCATCGAGGAGCTCGAGGTGAGGATATTATTTTTTTATTTTTTTTTATTTATTATTTTTTTTTTCACTACTCTTAGTTGGAATCGACCGCGTTTTGCAATCTAAATCACCGATACCGATTTTTTCCCCATCCCGGAGAGATCTCGCCGCGATCGAGTGAAAACCGGAAGCCAACGACGTTGTATAATATTCCAAATGCATATACGATTGCCCTGCAGATCGGTACCTGCAAGAAAAACTAATGGAAATAATAATACACCGTGGAAAGTAACCGCGACGCTCTTACATGTAATTGGCTAAAAAAAAGCGTAAACAAACAGCTAACTGTAGCCTGGAAGGAGTCAACTTTCACGCAAAATATATCATCAGCATAGAAAGCACGGACAGGTATACGATCGAGTATCGCTTTCGAGCCGGCTCGGATGTATGGGCCCAACCGCGTGTAATAATGATAGCGCGGCGAGCCGACTTTCACTCGCGAAAGAAAGTATCAGCAGTACAAAAATGACAAATAACAATAATATTCATAATGAACGCAGGTTGGAGTGCTGGTGAACAACGCGGGGACGAGCTACGACCACCCGGAGCTTTTTACGCACGTGAGCGAGGAGACGATAGCCCGGATCCTCCAGTTGAACGTCGCCGGAGTCACGGGAGTGGCGCGCCAGGTGCTGCCCGGTATGATGGAACGGCGCAAGGGGGTCGTGATAAACATCGGCTCGGCGGCTGGAGCCATGCCTAGCCCCTACCTCGCCGTCTACTCGGCGAGCAAGATGTTTGTCGACAAGCTCAGTGCCGATCTCGCGGCCGAGGCCAAGCCCCGGGGCGTCACCGTCCAGTGCGTCCTTCCCGGGCCCGTGGCCACCAAGATGTCCAAGATCAAGTACGTTACTTTCCATCACGTCCTGGTAACGCACGCGCTCTCGCTATTAACTTCCAACTTCAAACGCCGGTGCATAATCTATCGCAGCTGACGCAGGTCTACCTTGTTCTTTTTTTTTTTTTTTTGCGGGACTAAAAAAATCATCGCGAAAACTTGGTAAATAATTCATGAACTCGGCTCGCGCGTCTAGCGCTGCTAGCTTTTTTCATTAATTCTGGAAAAAGAACGCTTCCGGCAGCGTTCGCGGTTGCAGTGCCTTCGATTATTCATGCTGTATGGCCGGTAAAAACCAAAGTCATCGTCATCCGATAATCGAGAGAGTGACGCGCTGAACAATAACTCTCGGCATGCGCAAGCACGGCCGATAGATTATTATTTATGTTTCCTTTGAATTGCGAGTGACCCAAATCATACGTGATTATCTGATTAATCACAACATGGGATCGCGACTGATCGAATCTCATTCTGCCCGAGCAGGAAAGCCACGTGGATGGCGCCGACGCCCGAGCGTTTCGTCGAGGCCTCCCTGAGGACGGTCGGCATCGAGCAGCGCACGACGGGCTACCCGCCCCACTGTCTGATCCTTGGCTTCGTCGACGGGCTGCGCTGCGTCTGCGAGCGGGGCGCTGTTTGGCTGGTCGCCCGGACGATGCTCAACATTAGGGGCCGGGCGCTGCGCAAGAAGGCCAAGGACGCCGAGTCGGAGGATCTGCAGGCTCAGCCGCTCCACGAGCCCGAGGCGCACAGCTCGGAGGAGCGATGAGTCCCGCTTCTCGAGTACATTATACCGATCCGTGATCGCTACCGATGCTTTCGAGACTCCATTCTCGCGTGTTGATTATCCTACGCCGCTGCGTGTATTTTTTAAGATAATGGGCAGAATTTTCATTTTTTTTTCCAATCGATTGGAAGTCGCTTTGTAGAGGTGGTGTGCGACGGTACGTTGTGAGCACTGTTGTTTTTTTGTATTATATAAATGTTAAAGCCACACTTCGCCGATGCATCACGTCGATGGAGCGTAAATTGCGATCAGTTTTTTTTTTCTTTGTAAAAAACGCGCGCATTAAAATTCGGAATTTTAAAATCGATTGGCTCGACCGCATCTCTGTTATTCAGTCTATCGCAGTGGCATTCGTAATGAATTTTTTCTTTTGTTCCTCGGTAGCTTGGAAAAAAAAAAAAAAAAAAANAATTATTTAGAGCCATGGTATAACAGATCTCAGTATAATTTTTACAGAGTAATTCGGTGTAATGGTAATGCACTGGTTTTTTTTTTTTTTTTTTTTTTTTTTTTTGGACTCTTTTTGCATCTCTCTCCGATTGTATTTTCCGCTTTGCTCGCGTTTTGTGACGCGTCTCGGCGAAAGCTGAGCACCACAGCGAACAACAAAAGTTATCTCGCTTCGAGGGACTCTTTTTTCGTTCATTGGTGTGCAGTTGTGTGGTTCTGCCTTTTTTTTTTTCATCTTTTAAATAAATCCATTCCACCTTATTTTTACTCTACCGGTCAATATAAATGCCTGCGTCATAATAATACCGATAATTGTTATAATTCGCTCGATTTACACGTGCGTCATTGAATTGGTGTGTGTGTATGGATAAATTATGCATACAGTGATGATCATTTGTACTGTTCAATCGCATAATGAATTCGATTGCTCTATAGCATCATGAAAATTCATTGTGTATATATATACGTGCCCGCAGCAGGTAAACAGTTTGTCATTTTCGTGGATAATCGCAATTCGTGTTGTTGTTGTTTTTTTTTTTTTTTTTATCTATTATCGATACGTCGATGCGAGAATTACTACGCCCAGCAGTACTTGTAGGGGAAATGGTGAAAATCGAGGTACCTGGGAATGATTATTTGCACGTTTTTTGTTCAATTTCATTTTTTGAAATTTATATTTGCAGAACATTTGTTTCGTTACCGTATAATAAGTATATATTAATATCAACCTTCGAGGCTTAGGGTCTACTCTCTCTCTCTCTCTCTCGCTAGCATTTCATCTACTTGTTAACTCGTTCATCCGAAGAGCCAAGCAGACAAGTATAGCCGCAGTCGCGGCTCAATTTCGCGGTACACTGCATTATGGATTATCTCATTATGCCTACGTTGGTGTTCACGGAGTTAAATAATTAACATCCGGAAAATCAAGTTTCGGGTAATCTTTTTGGTGTTGAACGCTATTCTCTTAACCACGTACACCTTAATGAAAAGAATAAAAAAAAAAAAAAAGATCTCAAGTGATTGTGGTTTCATTACACAGTGTAGAAAAGTTTCATGGTTTATACCCTATATTTTACGCTACGTAGTTTTTTTGGTGTTTCAAGTTTAAATGGTAAAAATTAAACGAAACTGTGCACTTCGAAAAACCAAAAATATGTGTCATCAGAAAAAGAACAAACATGATAAAGTCATAAAAGAAAACTAATTGTTTCAAAAAGAATAATTGCGCTACAGAAATGCATTTTTTTTCCAAATGCGTGAGCAAATTTTTTTTTTGTAACGGTATGTAAAGGCCACGGATCACTTTCAGCCAGAGAAGCAGCAACTTTTGCGGTTGGCCAACCACTTTTTGGAGCTTTCGAAAGCCAGAAATTCATGAAATTCGTAACAAGCTTAACAAGAGAGAGAGACAGGACTGCTTATCCTTTGCGTTGGATTTTCACAAGAGCAATGAGAAACGAGTTATTTCGTGGCAGATCCGTACATTTAAGCAGATCGACGGAGGACACCTGAAATGATCGTCGTACACGCTGCATATAATATATACAGTATAAGGGAGTACGTTTATCCTCTCGATAAACGCTAATCCGTTTTCTTGTAAACGAAGGGAAAGTGCACGTCTCTCGAAGTAAGGAGAAAAAAAAAGTCTCAACAAGTTTACAATGGAGCGTCGAGAGAGATGAGTCTACAGTGAAAGAAAAAGTCGTGTCACCCGCTAAAAGCGAGAAAATTTCCCTCTCTGCGAGAGACCCTTTCCTCGTTTGCCGATCGATTGGATTTTCTCTCGTTGGTACGCAACATTTACCCAGTGCATTTTTTTATTTTTATTGAGAGCAAACAAGGTAGCCTTACACTGGAAATGGTATACTTTTCGAGCAATTCAAATATTGAGCTTACAGTTGGGGTGGTCCGAGTAAACTTTACGCGGTGTATGCACGTAATCAAGTTCTCGGACTATATAACTCGAGTGATGCTCATCCGATTGCGCTCGAATTTGGTGAACGAATTTATCAGCGCTATTGAATGTTCGTTGTGGTTCGCAATCAAAGAAATTTCCAGCACTTTAACCATTCAAGTCTGAACAGATGTGATTTTTTTCTTGTTGCAGATTTTTAAATCATTTTTTTTTTTTTTTTTCACAAGTACATGAAGGGAGGATATGATTGAGCTCAATTAATTATTGAAAAATGATTGAAATTTTTTTTTCCCCTGCAACAGTATTGAAATTCATGACCATTACTAAAAGTGTAAGTGAAAAATAATAATATGTAGGTACACTCACTTTCTCTGAGCAACGAAAATTCGTCGGAAACAAACACGAGGATTAAGTATCTTCTTTTTCAAGAGAAGCGAGTGCTTTTTCAGACACTAACGAGTTAAATATTGGCATAAATCCATGGAAATGGATTAATTCTTTCGAGAAATGTACGAACACGCCCGTAACGGAATTTTCAAATCTTTTTCTCGCAAAAGGTAAGCTTCCCTTTTGCTGTACGCCAATCACCTATAAAAATCCGTGTTCATTCATAATGCAAAAAATCATTCACCCTCACGCGAATTCCCTTTTGAAACAGAAAAACGTAATCCGCCAACGCCCGTACCTGCAACACGGGAAAAGCCATTTTTAATATTCCTTTGTTGTTCGTTTCGTTTCCATTGAACGGCACAGTAGGAGGGGGCATATAATATGTGTACACCCACGTAAAAATACCAGCTACGCGCACATATTATATGCCATGCAGTTTCGCTTCGATTAACGGTACTTGGGGCACAAAGACCGATGGGGATGAAAGCGCTGGCAACTACATGTATATATGCACTCAACAACAAACGAAATGGAAGGAAAAAAAAAAAAAAAAAAAAACATTTCGCTCAGGGTCGGATTATTACTTGCACCGAGCATAGTTTCACACTACTTAACGCAGTGATTTTCAAGGAAAGTGCTGCTGTGAGCTCGCAGGTGCTTCAAGAAAATTGGATTCAAGTCGATCGACAATTAATTTACTCGCTCATCTGAGCAGCGAATGTCGTTACAGACTAGGTATTAAACATCAAATGCCGAAAATGCAGATGATTAAAATCAACTTGAATCCAGTGCTTCCTCTCTCACGGGGTGCGCATATACCCGAGGGACGAAATATTGGAAAACGAACACAGCGTGGGGTCTAAGGTGCAACGTGTGAGGGGAGGGGAGGAACAAATGAAATGCACTATATAATTAAAGCAAAAGAAACAAAATCGTGCGTAGGTATAGGTATTACTAAGGGTATATAGGCACATAATATATTGTAAATGAATAATTGTAGTAACCAAGGCTTCTCGGGATGAGGTTGACGTCGTGGTTGGGCTTTCTCCTGGTGACGCAGGGGAGGAAGCAGCGACAGCACTCCTTCTTCAAGTCTATCGTGTAGCATCCGTAAACGAGCGGATTGGCGCACGAGTTGCTCACGGCCATGATGAACAGGGACTCTTGGACCATCTCGTTGACCCGCTCGGCGCTCTTTCGATCGATCATGTACCTGTTTGGGGGGGGGGGGGGGAGCAAAAACGAAACAATGCCCCGTTAAACAAACCTTGTATTGCTCGTCACCTGCGATGAGATTAAAAGTGAGCCCGACATGACACTTGTAATGTACATTTTGTGCACCAACGCCTTCCCGATTTTCTAGCAATGACGGACTCTCTTCTCTGTGTTTACGCTACTACTAATTATTCACGATTAGCATCATCAATATTGAGCTCTCAGTAGTAAGTTTTAAAGTAACTGTTGTTGTTTGATACATACAGGGACAGCTATTACGGTATACCCACAAAAGGTACAGTTTAAAGTTATAATTTTGTGAATCGAACTTTACAGAAACAAGCTGAGAGTTGCGCGAATCCACACGTTTTAATTAACTATGGGCTTTTGTGTAGGAAGGCATGTGGTATGCAATCCGTGGTGCAGCCGCGAGTATAGAGTTTGTTTTAATCAATGTACGACTCGAAGCGCGGGGACATAAACTCTGGCGGTGATTATTTCACGGATGTTTTTACACTTTGAAAAAAAAAAAGTTTTTTTTACTCCATCACTATTCACCATAAAATGTTGCTAAAAATTTACTTTTTGGTAAAAACAAAAAATATACATTTTATACACATCAAAGTTCATTCCAAAGTATTCGTAACGAAATATTTTTAAATACTTTTTTCGTCTAAATTGCTTTTCCTTCCAATTTTTAATGCATTGATTTTGATGGAAAAAATGTATTTACACCCCTGTCAGATAATTACCACGTAAACTGGCTAGAAACTCGTTAATGCACACGAGTAAATTGGCTTACAACATAATATATTGGCAAGTTTTTAGCGAGTTTGTGTAGAAAAGATTTTACGAGACGAAAGTATAGTAATTGATAAAACCTCTTTTCAGCATGAATAGTTCATTACACATTTAGCAACAAATAATGTTGCAAAAAAAAAAAAAAAAAGAAAAAAAAAACAACCCGTGTCCAAGTCTGCGTGTATCGTGTATACGTGATATATTTGTTGTGCAACGTAGAAACGAACCAAAGGGACATGGTGATGTAGGGCGTCCAGCAAAAGATGAAGGCAATGACGATTTTGATGGTCATCCTGAGCGTCCTGCTCCGGGCCCTCTCGATGCTCGACATGTCCGAGCGCCTCAGCCGCATTTTACTCCCGTGGGTGCTTCTCGAGTCATCGCGCGTCCCGCTGCTGCTCGACTTGGTCGCTACTGCAATATAACCATCGATTGTGACACGCGCTTTTTTTTCCACATCCATTGGGTGCTTCGTGTAACAAGTACCTGGATTGTTGTCCCTCGACTTGCTGCTTATTTCGCCGAGTATTTTCGAATAGACCCAACAGATGGTCGCCAGGGGTATGAAGTACATGCACGCCATAGAGCACATGTTGTAGAGGTTCTCCACCGCGTCAGACGGAAACGACTCGAAGGTCACGCACTGCGTGAAGTTTTTTACCTCCGGGTGCCTCCTCACGTGGAATACTATCGCCTATAATATCATAAAGGAAAATACGATATTCATCACTGAATATTTTTTGGTGTCTTTGTTCTGTCGCGAAAAAATTGAGAATGCACGCAACGTTTCGGGGGATGAAAAAAATGGCCATGAATAGATTGCTGCGGAAAAAAAAGTACGGAGGGGTGAGCCTGCCATTGTTTACCCCCCGACACCGACTCTCGTTCGCGACCGAATTTTAATACAAAGTACAATTCATTTTTCGCTGCGCAGGGACACTCTTATTAATTAAGATAATGAGTTTTCCGGCGACGCACCCCTTGTTTTCACAATTTTTCAGTGAGTTGTTTTTTTTTTTTTTTTTTCCTCCAGTGATCATCGTTAAAGCCCCCGACGTCGCTGGTGTGACCATAACATCAACGGTATACACGGCACGAAGTAATTAGCTTTCAGCTCTACTTTTTTTTTCTCCACTCATCTCTAGATAATGGCAACTTTTTATGTTTTTTTTTTTTTTGCCGTTTCTTCCCCTTTATTTTTTGCCTAATAATCCGAGTTTTGCTGAAACTGTCGAGAACATCGCAGAGTCAAGGTGTTTTCTGTCGTCTTCCAAGACAACAGCGCGAAAAGTATACACAGCAGCTAGCCAAGACACTTTGCGCCGTTAAACGTCTCACGTTTCCTCCTCGGGAGAGGAGATTTTAATGAGATTCCGGGTGAGTGGGAGGGATGGGGGCGTCGATTATTCTGCAGCTCGTTGTCGCGCTGTGCAAACTCGATTGATAAACAGCGATGCTCTACTGATTCCATCATCCCGTCCTTGATTCCCAAGATCCCCCTCACAATGGCTGTAAGACTGTTGACTCGAGCACGTTGCTGATGCCATTGGCACTATGTTTACCCCGAGCAACGTAGTTTCACGCCCATTATACCCTCTTCCGTCTACTTATGTAATATATATACTCACTTACTCCTGTGTTTACGTGCAGTGGATTACTCCCACGATTCTCGGTTTTGTATACATATATATATATATGGATTCCATTTCAGTTCAAGGATATAAAAAAAGCTCACTGGCCTACCGATTTAATTTTGCTACGGTTTTCTTTTTACGACTCGCTTTGGCTGCAGGTAGTATATAGGTATACGCTTTTACACTTTTTTCATTTGGCGCATAAAATAGTTGTTCAACTACCCCCACTCGACAGAGTCCGCAAACTATAAACGAATGAAATACCAGCCAAAAAGTTTGAGTGTTTACCTGAGGCACGGAGTACACGGTGCTGAGAATCCAGGCTATGCTCAGCATGAATTTCCCCCGCCGGCGGGCGTCGTTCACTCGCAAAGGATGCAGGACGGCAAAGTACCTGTTACACACGAGCACCATGTAAGCCAACGAATAGTTTACACAAGGTGTCATGGGGTCGGGGGGTACAGCTACGCATCAAATTAATTAACACGTTTCGTCCACCTACTCGCTGTTTTATACATGTTATTGCTTACCTGTCCAGGGAGACGCAGATCAATATGTTGTTCGACAAGTACAGGCCAAAGGCTCGGAAAAATTGTAATACTTTGCAAGCTGTGTTCCCAGCTATCCACTGGACCGTTATTCTCCAGCCGATCTGTAAAAAAATTTTTTCCATTTTTTTTTTTCGACCAACAAATAGAGCTCTCTTTCTCTCTATCTTCATCAAGCAACATCGGCAATATTACACGTAGTACAAACATATATGGGTCATTTCAAATGTCAGATGTTGATGCGCCTACGGAGCGCGCGTCATCTCACTTTGATTTAGAAACGTCAAAACGACTGTCAATCCTGTGGGTCAAAATGACAGGTTCTAGTTGTGTAAGCGCTGTTTACAAAAATTGTATAATTTGTCTTGTACAATAATTTACAAAAAATGTTGAGTGTACATTGATAATTTTTCAGAGATTTTATGGTGATTTGTCGTAATCAGTTGCGCTTAAGGCTATCAAGCCACGGATGCTGGCGTGGCACTTTTTATTATCACAGAGGGTGGACATATTCGTGTAATGCCAATTGAAAGCATTTCGTTGTGAAAACAAAAAAAAAACTCTCAAAAGTAGTAGATTACATTAAATTTTAACAACTATAAGTTACAATTTATTTTTACCAAATGTTCGTCTGAAACCTTATATTAAAACTTCTGATACGCGTATTTTGGGAAAATGTGATATTTTGCTCGCAGATGAAATTTTTCCAATATTATTTACAATTGTCGCAACGCCTCGGGCCGAATATTGAGCCAGTTGACTATTCTTGTATTAATTCTGCGCTGCAGACACCGATATGGAGATTTACATGACGCAAAACTATCATTGGAACCTAGTTTGGAAGTAGTTGAAATTATTTATCAACTACACCCTTCGAGACCATTTTTTTTTTTTTTTTTTTTATTAATTAATATGAAGAAAAAAAAAATCTTGGATAATTATGAATAAGTCAAAGTACAAATTTATGTGCAATTGCAAACGTAAAAGACAAAAAAAGCGTGTCATCAATCTTTAGCCGCGCGTCGTGAAATGTTGTCGCTAACTCCAGTAAAAAATAAAAAAGCTAGAAGAGAGGCGTAACTTCATAAATAATAAAAAAAAATTCCACGTACTTTTGAGTTGTGACAATTAACTCAGTTTCGTAAAATATCTCACATAGGTATCTATATGGCATATGAAATCGATTGAATACTTTATAATATTCAATTCTACCCCGATATTTGGCCGGCAGCGGTGGTGGTATGATTGAAAGGTAATTTAAAAATTCAATATACACGCGAAAATACAATAGATATCATAAAAGATGTATCTGAAGTTTTGGTATCGATGCACGAAAACAATTTAAAAATTTTTTTTTTATTTTAGGTGCAAAAATTTTCAGACTACTCGATATAACCATTTTTGGCTAACGAGCGCGTAAAATTTGATGATGATGATTTATTAATATTGCGATATGTATTTATGATCAATTTAAACATTTGTAGCGTAAGTATGCAATTCCCCTCGATCAGGTTAATATTATCTAATATCATATCACTGACAATCATTTGGAGGATCAAATAATAGCAATTGAGTGTAAATAAATACCTCTCTATTTTTTCATTACTTCACTGCCACTGAACATTTTGTTTACCATGAAAACAATAAATATTTCAAATACTTCCAATTCAGGAGATGAAATTCTGACAATTTATCAGCCCAATATAATATTAATATTATTCACGTAAAATTGTAATTCGAAAATTTCGATACATTCAAACCATGTACCAGTTACATTTTTGAATTAATTTCAGCAAGTGGCGCTGATTTTCCATGGATAAACAACCAATTCCGATGAGCGAGTAAACGAGCTCGACAGCAAATCTGTCGAATAACCGTTAAAAACCGATTGGTCGGAGCGTCGTCGCAAACAACAAACAGAGCCGATTGTAATCTACATCACGTACATATATATATATATATATATATATATATATATATATATATATATATAGGTAACAAACGGTTTTGATCAATCCCCCCTTGTAACAAATGTATACATATACAGAGGTAGAGATGATATTTAACAAACGATCGGTTGTCTTTACGCACGTGCAACGCGTGGAGTATATATTACTAAGGCCGCCACGGTTCGCCGGATTAATCACGTGATCCTCCGAATGCAATAATGATCCTTTCTACGGTACTGCCTCGTCCGACTGTATATACATATATTTATCGGTTAGTGCAAACGTATACATACAGAGGAGACAAAGCGGGCGAAGCTTTGATGAAACGACGGAATCTCGTTCCAATAATTTTACTTTGAGCGCCGTATATATGACTACCTACTTTGTTCAACAAAAATTCTAATTCAACTTCTATCGATTGTTAATTGTGTAAGTATTTTAAAATGAAGTAATATAACTTATCATAACCGTAGGCAAAGCAATTTTCAATTAATTTCAATGAAAAAAAAAAAAAAAAAAAAAAAAATGATATTCCAGTGTCACACTCACCTCGAGGGGTATCGTGAAGAAGGTGACGAAAAGATCGGCGATCGATAGGTGGCACATCATCAGCGATATCCGGGACTTGCGGTACCTGCCCCTCGACAGAGTCATGAAAACCGTGAGGTTGCCGACGAGGGCGACGACAAAGCACAAGCTGTAGATTATTATGATGATGAGGGACCGACTCGTGAATCTCATGTTTGGCGGTAGGGTGGGCGTGACCGCGCTCTCGTTGTCCACTTGATTGCCGCCGTGGCCGGCGTTTGTGTTGTTTTCGAAATTGCTGTATTCGAACAAGTCAAACCCAACGGCGATTTTTATCACGTATCTGCTGTTCGATGGGTGCGCAACTTTTGAGTAGCACCGACAAAGTAAGTAAATCTCCGCGAACTTTTTTTTCAGTGTATGCCATCTACGCTCGAATGTGCAATATATACATTATAATTTTGGAACAACTCGCAATGGGACGTACCACTTTTTCTCTATAAATTGTCTCTTTCGAAAGCTTTGGCCGTTTCGTTACGAGTGTCCGGCAATCAATTTATCGATGCTATTACGAAATTGTGCACATCCTAATGGTACTTTGATATGCATTGTTTTATGTATTGTAAAAAAAAAAAAAAAAAGGTTATTTTCTTAATCAACGATCCATAAATTGCTTGCAGGAATCTTATGAAGGTGAGATGACAGGATACTCGTATGTAAGTTATTTGTTTATTTTTTTTTGTTCATCAAATTCTTCCAAAGCAAGTGTTACCGTTACGTTTAGTTATTTGTGAGTATAGGTACTTTCTACAAAAATCATCGAAAGTTAAACATGACGTTTTACACATTCAATGATTTTTCAATGCTTTGTTCGGTAACATGAAATCAGTTAACGAAAAAATGGCCATCGAAAAAATTGACGGTAAAGCAAAAAATTGTAGATTATTACGTGATGCATTATTTAAAAAATGTATGATCTTATACGTAGATGTACTGTTCCCGACGGATGATGCAATTAATGAGTGTTATGTCACCTCGTTACCATTGGATTTCCGCAAAGTACCTTCGCAGTAATCAGGGAAATTTGATTGACCGATTAATATCGAGACTCCACGTTCACGGCGCAACTGTTGCATTGCCCTTTTCCCTCTAAATTGTTTATTTCGAAAATTTTGAGCGTATTGTTACGAGCGTCCGGCGATTAACTTATCGATTATAAGTACCTCAGTATGGTTTAATCGTTTGTAACAATATATACATATATTATTACTTGTTTATACAAAAGTAATAATACAAGTACAATATTTTTTACATTAGTGGTGTTTAATGATTTTTTTTTATCATTCGCAAGTTGTTGATTTTAAAACAGATATTTGAATGATTATCCATCCCTTAGATGCCGCGTTGACAGGTGTGGATGCAGAATTGAATGTATCAAGAATTCAAAATACAACTTTTTACGCGCACGACAGTATGAACCAGCTTATACTTGTATCCCGAGTGTGAATATTTTTTTCAAGAAAATTCCGTTTTGCTTCAACTATTTCAAGTAGTTCAAGCAAAGGTTTTTCGCAAGAGAGAAATGAAATGAAATCAAAGTAGAATACTCGAGCGGGAGATTTCTCATTTCGTAACCGATTCAAAGACATACCCTACCTCTACTCTACTGCAATGCGTTCAAGTCGAAATGAAAAAAGTTTCTTTGCTGCCGGAAATCAACTGAGACGCATATTTATGTTTACTGGGAAGGACACGAGGAAAAAGCCACTGAATAATTTAAAATCGGTCTTAGTTTCTTTAGTTCCTGCATATTTGATTGAAGGAGTAAGTTGATACGCTGAACTATTTTTTTTTTTCTTTTTTTTTTCTCAATAAAAGCTCAGGGTTTCATTAAAAACTACGCAAAGTATCTTTCTATATAGTGATATGACACGACAAAAAATCGATTATTCACAATATAAAGGACATTTTTGGGACTTTTGGATGCTAAATTTACTGTACGAGGCAGTGAAGAAATTGATTAATGACGCATTTCGTTTTGTTTTTAAAATACTTTAACAACAACGATCCTCCACTGGAAAATGTTTTTTCTTATTATTAAAAAAGTTTGGAAGCAAAGGGCACGAGTATTTAACATTTAATGAAAAAAAGGAAAAGGAAAAAACTTTTGAGATCGATATTCAAAACACCACATGATAATTGTATGTAGATTACGATGCCCGTGTACAAACAGGTACAACAAAAGTGCAGGACCATACTTGCAAATTCGGTATGGTTTCATCGAAGCTGTACCCGTATACAAGCTGTCGCTTGAGCATAGCTAATTTAGCGTCGCAGTAGTCGACGAGTAATTAAATATGCAACTATAGCCCTATACGTTGCACGCGCCAAAATCCCCCCAGAATTAGCTGCCATGCAACTTTGGCTGGGTCGAGTAACTCGACATCGCGGCATCCCGTTAGCATCACCTAAAAAATTTGACGCGGATCCCAAAATCTACTACACGACCCGACACCCCCTCCCCACGCGCACAGTTACTTGGTAAGTAGTTTGAATGAGATTGACGCTTGAAAAAAAGGAAGGGGAGTGGTGGGGGAAAGCGCGTTACCTGTTTAGTTCCTGCAGGAACTGCATTCGCAAGCTCTGCAACTGATCCATGGCATCCAGCGGGCTGGTTGTACTCGGTGAAAACAACATCGGTTGGCTCACTGGTTTCCCTCCGACATCGGAAAACCAAGAGCTTCGCGGGTGGAAGGTGACTTACACGGGTACCTCAATCCACTGGCTGGCATTTTTTTTCCTTTTTTTCTTTTTTTTTTTTTTCGCTCCAAAGCTCTTTGAGACAGAACGAGCGCTGCACTTGTAAACTTGCCACTACCGGACCTGATGCACAATGTAACTGAACCCGGTTGTTTGCCCAACGATCCGTGTATGATGCTCGGGCACCTGTTACAGGTACACGGTCGCAGTAACGCTTGTCGTATAGCTGCAGGACCCGGGCGTCGAGGCGCGTTGTGCAGCGAAGCCAGAGAGCCGCCTGACTGGCTGCACCCGGTGGCTTCGCGAGTCGTGGGCTTGCAACCCCCCCACGGCGCGCGCCTCTCCCATCTCGAGCACGCAAGTGCGGAGTGCTCTGGATGCTGCACTTCCGTTCCGTCGACGTGCATTATTTCGTCGGTGCTTTTTTTTTTTCCTTCCTTTTTTACCCGCTACCATACTATACGTCTCCGAATGCACTGGTTTTTTTTTTTTTNGCTACGCGCACATATTATATGCCATGCAGTTTCGCTTCGATTAACGGTACTTGGGGCACAAAGACCGATGGGGATGAAAGCGCTGGCAACTACATGTATATATGCACTCAACAACAAACGAAATGGAAGGAAAAAAAAAAAAAAAAAAAAAAAACATTTCGCTCAGGGTCGGATTATTACTTGCACCGAGCATAGTTTCACACTACTTAACGCAGTGATTTTCAAGGAAAGTGCTGCTGTGAGCTCGCAGGTGCTTCAAGAAAATTGGATTCAAGTCGATCGACAATTAATTTACTCGCTCATCTGAGCAGCGAATGTCGTTACAGACTAGGTATTAAACATCAAATGCCGAAAATGCAGATGATTAAAATCAACTTGAATCCAGTGCTTCCTCTCTCACGGGGTGCGCATATACCCGAGGGACGAAATATTGGAAAACGAACACAGCGTGGGGTCTAAGGTGCAACGTGTGAGGGGAGGGGAGGAACAAATGAAATGCACTATATAATTAAAGCAAAAGAAACAAAATCGTGCGTAGGTATAGGTATTACTAAGGGTATATAGGCACATAATATATTGTAAATGAATAATTGTAGTAACCAAGGCTTCTCGGGATGAGGTTGACGTCGTGGTTGGGCTTTCTCCTGGTGACGCAGGGGAGGAAGCAGCGACAGCACTCCTTCTTCAAGTCTATCGTGTAGCATCCGTAAACGAGCGGATTGGCGCACGAGTTGCTCACGGCCATGATGAACAGGGACTCTTGGACCATCTCGTTGACCCGCTCGGCGCTCTTTCGATCGATCATGTACCTGTTTGGGGGGGGGGGGAGCAAAAACGAAACAATGCCCCGTTAAACAAACCTTGTATTGCTCGTCACCTGCGATGAGATTAAAAGTGAGCCCGACATGACACTTGTAATGTACATTTTGTGCACCAACGCCTTCCCGATTTTCTAGCAATGACGGACTCTCTTCTCTGTGTTTACGCTACTACTAATTATTCACGATTAGCATCATCAATATTGAGCTCTCAGTAGTAAGTTTTAAAGTAACTGTTGTTGTTTGATACATACAGGGACAGCTATTACGGTATACCCACAAAAGGTACAGTTTAAAGTTATAATTTTGTGAATCGAACTTTACAGAAACAAGCTGAGAGTTGCGCGAATCCACACGTTTTAATTAACTATGGGCTTTTGTGTAGGAAGGCATGTGGTATGCAATCCGTGGTGCAGCCGCGAGTATAGAGTTTGTTTTAATCAATGTACGACTCGAAGCGCGGGGACATAAACTCTGGCGGTGATTATTTCACGGATGTTTTTACACTTTGAAAAAAAAAAAGTTTTTTTTACTCCATCACTATTCACCATAAAATGTTGCTAAAAATTTACTTTTTGGTAAAAACAAAAAATATACATTTTATACACATCAAAGTTCATTCCAAAGTATTCGTAACGAAATATTTTTAAATACTTTTTTCGTCTAAATTGCTTTTCCTTCCAATTTTTAATGCATTGATTTTGATGGAAAAAATGTATTTACACCCCTGTCAGATAATTACCACGTAAACTGGCTAGAAACTCGTTAATGCACACGAGTAAATTGGCTTACAACATAATATATTGGCAAGTTTTTAGCGAGTTTGTGTAGAAAAGATTTTACGAGACGAAAGTATAGTAATTGATAAAACCTCTTTTCAGCATGAATAGTTCATTACACATTTAGCAACAAATAATGTTGCAAAAAAAAAAAAAAGAAAAAAAAAACAACCCGTGTCCAAGTCTGCGTGTATCGTGTATACGTGATATATTTGTTGTGCAACGTAGAAACGAACCAAAGGGACATGGTGATGTAGGGCGTCCAGCAAAAGATGAAGGCAATGACGATTTTGATGGTCATCCTGAGCGTCCTGCTCCGGGCCCTCTCGATGCTCGACATGTCCGAGCGCCTCAGCCGCATTTTACTCCCGTGGGTGCTTCTCGAGTCATCGCGCGTCCCGCTGCTGCTCGACTTGGTCGCTACTGCAATATAACCATCGATTGTGACACGCGCTTTTTTTTCCACATCCATTGGGTGCTTCGTGTAACAAGTACCTGGATTGTTGTCCCTCGACTTGCTGCTTATTTCGCCGAGTATTTTCGAATAGACCCAACAGATGGTCGCCAGGGGTATGAAGTACATGCACGCCATAGAGCACATGTTGTAGAGGTTCTCCACCGCGTCAGACGGAAACGACTCGAAGGTCACGCACTGCGTGAAGTTTTTTACCTCCGGGTGCCTCCTCACGTGGAATACTATCGCCTATAATATCATAAAGGAAAATACGATATTCATCACTGAATATTTTTTGGTGTCTTTGTTCTGTCGCGAAAAAATTGAGAATGCACGCAACGTTTCGGGGGATGAAAAAAATGGCCATGAATAGATTGCTGCGGAAAAAAAAGTACGGAGGGGTGAGCCTGCCATTGTTTACCCCCCGACACCGACTCTCGTTCGCGACCGAATTTTAATACAAAGTACAATTCATTTTTCGCTGCGCAGGGACACTCTTATTAATTAAGATAATGAGTTTTCCGGCGACGCACCCCTTGTTTTCACAATTTTTCAGTGAGTTGTTTTTTTTTTTTTTTTTTCCTCCAGTGATCATCGTTAAAGCCCCCGACGTCGCTGGTGTGACCATAACATCAACGGTATACACGGCACGAAGTAATTAGCTTTCAGCTCTACTTTTTTTTTCTCCACTCATCTCTAGATAATGGCAACTTTTTATGTTTTTTTTTTTTTTGCCGTTTCTTCCCCTTTATTTTTTGCCTAATAATCCGAGTTTTGCTGAAACTGTCGAGAACATCGCAGAGTCAAGGTGTTTTCTGTCGTCTTCCAAGACAACAGCGCGAAAAGTATACACAGCAGCTAGCCAAGACACTTTGCGCCGTTAAACGTCTCACGTTTCCTCCTCGGGAGAGGAGATTTTAATGAGATTCCGGGTGAGTGGGAGGGATGGGGGCGTCGATTATTCTGCAGCTCGTTGTCGCGCTGTGCAAACTCGATTGATAAACAGCGATGCTCTACTGATTCCATCATCCCGTCCTTGATTCCCAAGATCCCCCTCACAATGGCTGTAAGACTGTTGACTCGAGCACGTTGCTGATGCCATTGGCACTATGTTTACCCCGAGCAACGTAGTTTCACGCCCATTATACCCTCTTCCGTCTACTTATGTAATATATATACTCACTTACTCCTGTGTTTACGTGCAGTGGATTACTCCCACGATTCTCGGTTTTGTATACATATATATATATATGGATTCCATTTCAGTTCAAGGATATAAAAAAAGCTCACTGGCCTACCGATTTAATTTTGCTACGGTTTTCTTTTTACGACTCGCTTTGGCTGCAGGTAGTATATAGGTATACGCTTTTACACTTTTTTCATTTGGCGCATAAAATAGTTGTTCAACTACCCCCACTCGACAGAGTCCGCAAACTATAAACGAATGAAATACCAGCCAAAAAGTTTGAGTGTTTACCTGAGGCACGGAGTACACGGTGCTGAGAATCCAGGCTATGCTCAGCATGAATTTCCCCCGCCGGCGGGCGTCGTTCACTCGCAAAGGATGCAGGACGGCAAAGTACCTGTTACACACGAGCACCATGTAAGCCAACGAATAGTTTACACAAGGTGTCATGGGGTCGGGGGGTACAGCTACGCATCAAATTAATTAACACGTTTCGTCCACCTACTCGCTGTTTTATACATGTTATTGCTTACCTGTCCAGGGAGACGCAGATCAATATGTTGTTCGACAAGTACAGGCCAAAGGCTCGGAAAAATTGTAATACTTTGCAAGCTGTGTTCCCAGCTATCCACTGGACCGTTATTCTCCAGCCGATCTGTAAAAAAATTTTTTCCATTTTTTTTTTTCGACCAACAAATAGAGCTCTCTTTCTCTCTATCTTCATCAAGCAACATCGGCAATATTACACGTAGTACAAACATATATGGGTCATTTCAAATGTCAGATGTTGATGCGCCTACGGAGCGCGCGTCATCTCACTTTGATTTAGAAACGTCAAAACGACTGTCAATCCTGTGGGTCAAAATGACAGGTTCTAGTTGTGTAAGCGCTGTTTACAAAAATTGTATAATTTGTCTTGTACAATAATTTACAAAAAATGTTGAGTGTACATTGATAATTTTTCAGAGATTTTATGGTGATTTGTCGTAATCAGTTGCGCTTAAGGCTATCAAGCCACGGATGCTGGCGTGGCACTTTTTATTATCACAGAGGGTGGACATATTCGTGTAATGCCAATTGAAAGCATTTCGTTGTGAAAACAAAAAAAAAACTCTCAAAAGTAGTAGATTACATTAAATTTTAACAACTATAAGTTACAATTTATTTTTACCAAATGTTCGTCTGAAACCTTATATTAAAACTTCTGATACGCGTATTTTGGGAAAATGTGATATTTTGCTCGCAGATGAAATTTTTCCAATATTATTTACAATTGTCGCAACGCCTCGGGCCGAATATTGAGCCAGTTGACTATTCTTGTATTAATTCTGCGCTGCAGACACCGATATGGAGATTTACATGACGCAAAACTATCATTGGAACCTAGTTTGGAAGTAGTTGAAATTATTTATCAACTACCCGAGTGGAGAATTTGTAAAAATAGGACGGTCATGGAAATAAATTATTTTTTGTAAAAGAAAATAATAAAAAACATCAGCGAGATAAAAGACTTGCCTAAAAATGTCCACATGTGTGTGTGTATGATTTAAATTGATTTTTTTTTTTTTTTATAAATAGTGTTAAAATTGCGTTAATACTATATTTTATGTTCATGGCTAACTTTGTAAGTCATTTGTGCAAATCTAGTCTGAAAAGTTTATCAAGCTGGAAACAATTGTTCAAAAGACAGTGTGTTTCTTGAATAGTTTGCACACAAACGACAATTGACTAATTTCAACGATAAAGTACAATTTTTGCAGCTTTCTACTTTTAATTACTATATACATATATTATGTACACGTTGATCGACGCACGACCGGATAGCGAATGACACGCGCAATAATATCAGTTTGATTTCATTTAACTTTGGCAAGCAATACGACGATGCTGAAGAAGCACAATGAAATGAGGCCAAGCGAATGCGTTTAACCTCGAGGCTCATGTTTAAGTAAATGACACACGCGGTCATGAGCGGACATGATCAATCGTTTTGTAAATAAGTGCCTTAAATCTAAACTCTTGCGCCAATTTGCAATTATTTTTATTCCTTCGATTCAAAACGGAATACGCGTATACACAATATAAGGTGAATGTTGCCATGGATTTTGTTGTTTCGCAAATACTTAGATATATAAATAGCATATTATATGATTTTGAAAATAAATCTCGTGGATAATGAGACCAGATATACATACACAAGCTCTTATATATGTGTATAAAATATATGTGCATTTTTCGCAGATTTCAAATGAAAGTCTTGATGATTATTTTGGTCAAAGAGTTGAATGATGTACATTCAAGTATTTTAAAATAAAGCAAAAATGTTTAGCTAATAAGTAAGTATTACTAGAGAAATACGAATGATTGAACTCACTATTGTTCGTAGAGGTAGCTTTTCGATGGTGACGGTATTTTTCGATGCCAGTACGACTGATGCCGCCGACAATCTCGGACTACTGGCAGAAACTAGTAACTTGTTGGCGCAGATGTTGGTACTTTTTGTCTGACCGCTTCCAACTGGAGGGTGCATTGCGGCACAATCGAGTCAAAAACATATTTAAATACAAAACCAAAACATGACCACGAAAAAAAATGAGTAGCTAAAAAGTAAAAGGAGAACGTACATCTACTTATCGAAACAGCTAAAAAAGTAATGTTTTATGTGTTTAATCTATAGGAAGAACACACTGACAAACACTTGAGCGGAATAAACATGAAATAGTATAAATACACACCTTTGAAAAAGCCGCGCACGGCTTGACGAATGATTTTGCTGACGCCCGGGTATTTTGTTTCTGGTTTCTGGAATTTCGAATCTGCAACAAACGTACACAATGGTTTGCACTTTTTGCGCTACACGATTTTCGAAACCTACATTTTTCAATAGCAGCACACAACCGATGCGTCCATTTTTATCCAGCCCCGGGCGCCAGCGTTCTTTTCTTTGTGTTCATCGCATGCGTGGATATGATAAAATAAAAAAGGTCCCTTTTTTAAGTTCACATGATTTGGGATTTAAAAAAAAAAAAAAAAAAAAAAAAAAAGATTTTATTTCTTGCAATCAATTGTTGTTTTCAATGCTCCACTAGTTTCAATTGTCATACAAAACTGTGCAACAATGACTAACAGAGGTAGTAAAAAATATCCCTCCAACACTTTACTGCTACGTATGACGCTCTCATTGTAACAATCCGACCAACTTTGTTGAGCCAAATGTTTTTTTTTACACTGGTAGTAGAACTACTACTCCTTTTAAAAGTAAAAACATTCAAGTACTGTATCGAGAGTTATAAAAAAAAAAAAAAAAAAAAAAAAAAAAAAAAAAAAAAAANTTTTTTTTTTTTTTTTTTATAAAGTTTATTTGATTATTGTGCATAAAATCTCGTCGCAGCTTGTGTATGGTCATGGCAAAGGTAAAAAGTGAATAAGAAATACAAAATTACTGATGGGTTGGAACACGTTACCTGTAAATTCAGAGCACAATTTAATGATCCTTGTACTCATGTCATCTCTACAATTTGTACGGGTTGCAGGTGCATATGAAAGTTCTGAATAACTTGTCAAAGCTTTTCTTAAATTCGTTGAAGATTTCACACGATATGTTGTTAACAACGAAAAAATAGGATTTCTCAGGGAATACAATAATATTTGTGTAAACTGTTCGTACGTACGAATAATTTTTTTTCTTTTTTTTCATAACTACAATTCATTTACACATTTTTAAACTGTATAAACTGCGTAGACATTGGGTTACGCAGATTTTCGATCCGCGAAATTCGCGCGCGTGGCGGCGAGTCGCGAGCGATTTCAAACAGCTGTTTGGCGTACACATATAAATATAGTACATGCGTCACCCTAACCTGTAAAAGTTCGTCGCGACAACAGCTTTCGTTGAATTTTCGTTAAGTATAAATTTGATTTAAAAAGGCGAAATTCGTCATAACGGTGAGTCACGAGATATACGAGACTCCAAAACTCACTCTCAATATGATGTACTGCCGAAAATTCGTCGCACGTCTGGGGCAGCGTGTTCTTGTGTACAAAGAACATTTTGCCTTTCGAAAGTTTCATAGAGTGAAATAGTGTGTTAACATATTAATGTTGCTGCTGCTGTTATTTTATTTAGTTTATTTTTAACGGACATTTTAGTTGTTTACTGTTTTTTTCGATAAAATTTTATCGTTACCTTGATTTGGCACACCTACAGATTTACAAGTGGGTGAGAAATTTAATTCGCTGTTTTGTTGATTTTTGTTTCGTGAGGCTCATTATTTTAATTTTCTTCCTTTATTTCAGAGTCATAGTAATATATTACGTTGTATTTTCCTGTAGAGAAATAAAAAAAAAATCCGTAAAGATGAGATTTTTAGATTTGCAGAAATTTAAAGAGCTGCAGAGCAAAGTAGATTCCATAAGGAATATTTGTATACTTGCCCATGTTGACCATGGGAAAACGACCCTGGCTGATTCGCTGGTTGCCAGTAATGGAATTATTTCGAATAAATTAGCAGGGAAATTGCGTTACCTAGACAGCCGTCCCGATGAACAACTGCGTGGCATAACTATGAAGTCGAGTCTCATTACGCTACACCATGCGTACAACGACTCAGAATTTATTGTTAATCTCATAGATTCTCCTGGTCACGTAGATTTTGCATCTGAAGTGTCAACTGCCGTGAGATTGTGCGATGGTGCCATTATTGTAGTTGATGTAGTGGAAGGTGTCTGCCCTCAAACAAGAACCGCCCTTTGCATGTTGTACGCCGAAGGCCTTAAGCCTGTACTAGTCCTCAATAAAATCGATAGATTGATTTCGGAAATAAAACTGTCGCCTTTTGATGCCTATGTTCATTTAAATCAAGTGTTGGAGCAGGTAAATGCTGTCATGGGAGAAGTATTTGCAACCAACGTTATGGAGAAAGATGAGGGAGAGGAAAATGTCAAATCTAATAGTATAGATGACCTAGCCAAAAGGGATTTGGCAGATTGGCAATCGGCCCTTGAAGAAATTGATGATTCGCACTTGTATTTTTCTCCAGAGCAAGGCAACGTTTTGTTTGCAAGTGCCATAGACGGATGGGGCTTTGCAGTTAAAGATTTTGCTAAAATATTTTCTGAAAAATTGGGATTCAGTGAAAAAGTCTTGTTAAAAACCCTTTGGGGAGATTATTATTTGAATACGAAAAATAAAAGGATCATGAAAGGTGCTCAGAAAAAAGCAAAGAAACCCTTGTTTGTGCAGTTGATTTTGGAAAACCTTTGGTCTCTTTATGACACAGTGATGGTAAGAAAGGACAAAGATATGGTGGCATCAATGGTAGAAAAATTAAACATCAAACTGACCATCAGAGACTTGAGACACACCGACCCCAAAGCTCAAATGCGGGCAATATGCACTCAATGGTTGCCTTTGGCCAAGACATGCCTGGACATGATATGCGAAAAAGTTCCACCACCTCACAAGTTACCCAGTGAAAAAGTTGAAAGATTGATCAGTGGGATCGATGAGTTTTCATCCATGCCCGAAGAAACTCAACAATTAAAGGACGCCTTTCTGTCTTGTAAATCTAACGAAAATGCACCAATTATCATTTTTATTTCGAAAATGTTTCCAGTTGATAAAAAGTCGTTGCCAGAAAATAAACCAAAACCTTTGACTGCGGAGGAGTTGTTACAGAGAAGGGAAATCGCCAGACAGAGACACGCCGAAAAATTGGAAAAAGATAAATTTGATAAGGCAGACGTAATTTCTCTGACAGAAGCAGATTTAAGCAACAAAGCAGAAAAGGAAAAACAAACGGAAAATGAAGAAGAGTCTTGCGAAGATTGCTTGGTTGCTTTTGCCAGAGTGTACTCTGGAACTGTGTCTATTGGCAGCGAGGTGTATGTTTTAGGGCCCAAGCACAATCCCAGAACTGCCCTCGAAAGGCAAAGAAATGGAGAGTTGATAGACAATACACTTCAGCTGAAAGATCTAAAAGCTGGAAGATATATTACAAAAGTGACGATTTCAAAATTATATTTACTCATGGGTAGAGAACTAGAACCAATCGACAAAGTGCCTGCAGGAAACGTCATTGGAATCGGTAATCTAGAGGATCACGTACTGAAAACAGCAACACTTTCCTCAACGATTGCTTGTCCGTCGTTTTCCGAACTGACTTCACTGGCTGTCCCAATACTACGAGTCGCACTGGAACCAAAGCACCCCAATGATTTGCAAAAATTAATAAATGGTCTGAAGCTTTTAAACCAAGCAGATGCTTGCGCTCTCGTTCACATTCAAGAAACTGGTGAAGTTGTTTTAAACACCGCGGGTGAAGTTCACCTGGAGAGATGCATAGAGGATTTGAAACTTCGTTATGCCAAGGTAGACATCAACGTGTCTGAGCCAATTGTGTCGTTCAGAGAAACTATTGTGCCGCCTCCCAAAGTCGATATGGTCAACGAAGTTATAGAAAAAAAATCGGATGATACTAAGCTCGAAACTCGTGAACTAACGTGGGGCAATGGGCGCTGTTATTTTGAAATTGATGCCAAGCCACTGCCGGACGTGGTAACAAAAACGTTGGAAAAGAATACCGAACTCATCAAAGAATTGGATAAGCGTTTGAATAATTTGGGCAAAGAGAAAGAATCGATGGAATCACTCGATATTGCCAAGTTGAGTTTGGACTCCCCGGCTCTTCTCGGTAAAATGCACAAAAATGTCGAAACATTCAAAACTAAATTATTGACCGCTTTCAAAGAGTCCGGCTGGAATGATGATATTTTGAATAAAATTTGGTGCTTTGGACCGAGGAAATGCGGCCCGAATATTTTTGTTAACGAAAGCACTTTTGTAAGAAAGCCTTTTTGGGAACAACAATTAAAATCCATGGACCCCCGTGATTCGTAAGTTCTTGTGCATCGGAGTCAAGTTTTCAAATCCAAAGTACTTATAAGTTGTGTAAATTTTTTTCAGGTTCTACAACAGCCTGATAAATGGTTTTCAATTGGCAACTCTGTCGGGACCGCTCTGTGACGAACCTATGACTGGGGTGTGCTTTGTTCTGAAAAAATGGGAAATCGTCGAAGACACGCAAAGGTAGTAGGATTAAATAGGATTTTATTTAATTAAAAAATTTTTAATTTCTACAATGAAAGTGTAACAACGAATGCGATTTTTCAGTGAAAGTGGAACCATGTCTCAAAATCAGCGCGGTGGACAGTTGATGTCAGCCTTTAATCAAGCTTGCAAAAACGTCTTCAACTCCAGGAGACCTCGTATCGTCACACCCATGTATCATTGCAGCGTTTTAGTTAATTCAGACGTCCTCGGTAAGTCTCGACATTTGTCATACAAAAATAATTAAAAAATGATAAACTATTTCATAATTTTTATAAATCATTTATTTTCATCAGTTTTTCTTTTATCTTTCATGATAAATAGTTATCATAATAGTTATTTACAAAATGGATTACTGTTTGAGTACTTTGAGCTAGTTTGCAGTTAATATTGCGATTACACATTTATTATAATAGTAGGTAGTAATGATAATGATGATAATAATATTATTAAGAGTATTTAAGAGTATTAAGAGGAAAAAAAAAAACATGGCCGTTACCTAATAATAAACGCCGCTTACGCTCGAACCTCGTCTACGAGTAGACAGCTGATGCCTTTCGTTGTTTCATCGATTCAGTCTGTTTATGATATAATGTATATATATAATATTTAAGTATATAAGCTCGTGCCAGCGCCTATATGCCGGGCGACATCGTAAAATATATAACTCACTCAATCGATCACAATACAACTACTGTTGGCAAAATTTTTCCGCGTCACACGAATTGATCATTAATGATGATGATTACACTTTTTTATTCTAATCCTATGCAAGTGTACCTATGTACTTTGATTGAGGAAACGCGCGCGGAAACGGGGACGCGTCCCCCTTCCCTTTGTATATTATACTTTATCGCGCCAAGTGAAAATTAATTAAATAGTATAAGTAGTAATAGCGTTGCGAAAAAATAAAAAAAAATAAATTAAAAAAAAATGGTAAAAAATACATTTTAGGAAGCCATTTGTCGGTAAATTAGTTTCGCGCGCGGGAGATCGCGCGCGCGTTTACCTGCTTGTTGCTTAATAAATAATTCTATCCAAGTTAAGCGCTAGGCGCTGTAAAATACTTGAATTAATAAATAAGTCCATACGAAGAAAGGAAGAGAGAAAAAGTAGGGGGGGGGATGAGGGTGGGACACACGGGAGCGAAACCTTTGAAGGAGCGATTGTCCCGCAGGTGGAGTATATTATTGAAATCAGAGTCAGTATGAAAAAAAAAGGAAGAAATTAAATGCGCGAGAGCAATCTCAATCCTCCCAGTTGGCTGTCCTCATCAGCTCTGGCACCAGATGCCAGGGAAAAGCCCCGCCGTTGGCCGCGCTATCCTCCTCGTATCCCGGAAATCCTGAAATTTCGTTGTCGTTTGAAATAGTCGAAAACACCAACTCGATAATGGACTAAACGTGTTAGGGAGGCTGAGCTTTTTTCTTTTACCTAAGATACTGCGGATGTTTCTCAGCGGCCGGCCCCTTCGGTTCCCCTGGACGCACATCATGCCGTAGACCCGGATGCCGGGCACACTGGCGTAGGTCGGCTGGTCGTGGCTCATCGGTCCCTCTGTTGGAAATTCACATTTTATGGTTTTAATTGCTTATTCTCATTTTCAATTCATAACTAATGAGTCATTTTTTCTCTACATTTTCACAAATTTTCTCACAAACTCCGCCTAATTACACTACACCGTCACCTTAATTTTTTTTTTTCTTCAAGCAAAAAAAAAAGTTCAGATTTTAATTCAATATCGAGAGCCGAGAAAAAATCCAGTATACGCGTTTCATTCCATTTACTTTCTCATTTCCAATAATTGCGATTTCGCGAAAGCAGCTTACAACGAGTATTAATTGCGCAGGGCAATTAAAAATCTCTTATTCGTGATACCGAGAACAATAATTATTATCAACCCTCGACCTTGCAAAAGTGGGTTTTCCTCCTTTTCCGCGAGTAATCACAATTTCATACAAAAATTAAACTCTGAGTTCTCGGAAAAAGTAACAAGCATCACTCGAGTGCGCACCTTTCGATGATATCGTTATAATTAAGTCTTCTCGCGCGACCTTCACTTATAAAAAAAAAAAAAAATGAGAAATTCCTTGAAAAGAAAATATAAAGCCCAGTTATTGCCCATACTCGTATACATACAGCTAGAGTCTGCGAAAAAAGGCGTCGATCCATCTGGCGCTGGATAGAGATGAGCAAAATAATCGTCAAGTTTCAATTACAGGAGCGACGGTAGCGCGAATAACGACAGGGATTTTTCCTCTCTTGCACGATAAATAAGTGTACGTGTATAGACAGACGGCGAGGCGTAGGCAAATTGATAGATAGAGCGTGCATACACGCGCTAAACTTTATAATCCATCCGCGGCGGCAAATCTAGCTCTGCTAACGGTATACTCGCCGCGAATCCAGCCAATTTGCCGGTATATACGCGAGCCAGAGGGTGGGGGGGGGGGAGGAGAAAAAAAATTAAGCGGAAAAATCAATTTTAGCTCCGTTGCAGCTGGTGTCTATGATATCGAGAGGTATGCGAGGATACTCACCGAGGATGTTGGTATCCGGACAGCGACAGATGACCAGGTAATGGGACTTGCCTGTTCGCACGTTCTGGAGGGCGAGGAGCGACCAGTCCCTCGGCGCTCTGCACTCCCGCATCTCCGCGACCGGCTCGCACGTCTTTACCAACGTCAGTGCCTGCGAGGGCCACAAAACCAGTACATGAACAATTTTTTTTTTTTTTTCTTTCTTTTCATCTCCTCTCCCTCGTCGTCGTCGTCCTTCCCCCACCTTCTTATCGCATAAATTATTCACCAAGCGTAAGCTTATGCATTTAGACTAATAGATATGTCCCGAGATTATGTTTTATTCATGCCCCCGCACGCGCGCTCTCCTTTTTTTTTTTCCTTTTCGTTATATACCATGTATTTCACGCGCGCATCTCCCGATGGGTATAATTCTCCTCTAATTTATGGGCGCTTCATTTTTCTCGCGTGCCCGAACCGCTTCTCCGCTCGTCCCCGATTATTGTTTTTTTTTTTTTTTTTTCCTCGCGGCACACGCTCGTTATACTTATCGTTTATCGACATCGGGCAGGACTCGTGTGCTTTTTTTCCTTCTTCTTTGCCTTTGAAAGAAAAATCTTCCGCTTCGGAATGAAATTAACTCGCGTGCAAGTCGTGTGTTTACAAATAACAGTGCTATACGCACGGGTATACACCATCACCAATGATTTTCCACAAGACACTTTGTGGTCAGTTTTTTTTTTTTTTTTTCTCGCACCCGATCGAAGGGAGGGAGAGCCACGAGATATGCATTCGCACGCGCTGATGAATTTGCGTATATATAAATTATACAATCAAGCGACCGCTATCTCCTGTATGTTACTAACCCAATTAGAATAACCGTACCTATAAGTATATCTGTTTATAGCTCCTCGGCGACCGTAATAAGTGCCCGCATGTAAGTGGATATCTCTTAATTCTCAAGAGAGAGAGAGAGAGAGAGTTTGCTTTACAATTATACACCTGTATATAGTTACCTGCATCCATATGTGCACGTGTGCAGCGAGTCTCGCTTGTTATAGGTAGTATATATATTAAAGTCGTGGTAACTATGCCGCATGTGTATACGTACTCAAAAAGTGGTTGGTTTGTGTTTGAAAATATCAAGAGCCAAGAGCGTTTAATGAGTTTGTTTAACAGGTGTAAAATCATATTTTTCCTGGGAAGGCTCAATGTGAGGTACACTCGCTGTACAAAGTGTACCATATTATAACACACTCGGGTTTTCTTATCGAGCATCGCGATTCGCGGAACGAGGGAGGGGGGGGGGCGAAAATGAGCAAACATAATTAAAATAGCCAAGAGAGAGAGAGAGAGAGAGAGAGAGGATGGAAAACGTAAGCTGCTTGTCATTTGCCGTGCGATGGGTGTGTGGTATATAGTTGTATCGCTCCCGAGCACCACCACAGCCGTTATTCGCGGCCAAAGGGTTACGATATACCTGCGAAAGAAAGAACTGATACATCGGAGAAAGGGGTGTATTCGTAGGGGTGCTTCTTCGTACATATTATATATATTTTCCGTAACTCGTTAGGTATAATCTATATTCTCGCTCATCCTCATAATTATATTACATGTACAATGTACACTGATTCATTATATAGGTAACAAAATTGATCGTGAACCTTTTGGCCCCTTTCGCGGTTCTATTATATACATCACAAGTATTCCCATCTCTCGCGCGTGATACAAATTTAGTTACCCGCATGTGTTGTTACGGTGTTCACGTATTTGTATCCGCATGTAAAACCCATACGTATATGAGATGTTACAAGTGTATAGGTATACATGGGTAAAAGCGTGCGATTCTAAATCACGAGTTAACGGGCTCCGGGACCGCGGATCTATATTATAAGGCCCCCCGCCGTTGCATCTGTCAGTCGTTGTTCTTCTTCTTCCTCCCGTTTCCCGCCAAAGCCAAACGCTATAGCTTCCATTATCCTGCACCGCGCGGCAATTATCCGGAATATCATATCCTCTTTTTACTTAATTGAGCTCATCCTTTTTCCATTATTGTTTTGTTTTAAGGTACGCGCGCCTTTTGTTCCCTCGCCTCGATCAACGGATGTATGTATACACTCCAAATGGCAGGACGGGCAATTAAATCGTTCGCCAAAGAGCGACGTAGGAGGGGCCGACGTAATTAAATTCCACCGCAATCGATAAAATATATAAGCCCATCGCGGGATTGAGCAAAGTTACGAAAAAGCAGGAAACGCGAGAGGTGGTGGGTGTACAGTTAGGAGTAAGACACGAGAGTCGTGTAAATAGGTACACCTTGGGTATATGCAACGCGGATTCCTCGAGAGAGCGAGTAAGTATGTATATAATCTAGCGTGACTCTTTCCTCCCTCCCTCCCGATGCCCTATAAGAGTTTGTTGGCGCGAAAATACACGGGCTCGCGTCACCGCCAGAGATATGTAACCGCGAGGGGGAGGATCGTGATTCGAGCCGGGGGTGGGTGAGTGGGGGGGGAGAAGATCGGGGCTTCCAGATAATAGGGGGAGAGCCAAGCGGAAGCGCAACTGCACGGAACGAATGTCACGGAGTGCACGCGCACTGCTTCCTTCGCGGACGTTATCCTTGTGCATGTATACACTTACGTACATACCTATACTTGCGGGCCAAACCGATCGTTGTCACACTACCTGCA